ATTACATGTCCACACTTCTCACATGAATGCATAACTTAGTGTAATTCCTATCAAAATCTTAATGGGAGTATCTCCTAATTCATCTCCAAAAATAAACATTTGAGAATAAATATTCTTTTCTATGTTTCCAAGAAAACATGGAAAAGAAACAATCATGAGGGTGACCACTCTCATCTAATTTTACAATGGGCTACAAATCTATTGTAATGAAATGAGTATAGTTCTGGTCCAGCAATAAACAATAGGTCAGTACAACAGAAGAGAGAATCCATATGCAAATCCACATATATGTGTGACTTGATGTAAAATGAAGGTCACATTACAAGTTACTGGGAAAGGATGAAATTTTCAAGAAATGTTGAAACAAATAGCTATCTATTTGGAAGAAATAAAATCAGAAACTATATCATACCATATAGAAAAATATAATCCATATGGTTGGGAGATTTAAATATTGATACAAAATTTAAATTATATATATGTGTCTTATAAGAAAATATTGAGGAATATGTAAAATCTTGGGGGTAGAATAGGTTTCTGGAAACTGGAAAGTTATAAGAAAAATAATACTCAGAAACTATAAAAATAATATATTGTTTGAATTCTTTAAACTTTCATATGGAAGAGATACTATAAAGTCAAAAAAAAGCAATAATCTAGAAGAAGATATTTGCAGTTGATGGACCAGAGAAGAGGGTAAATGTATTGAATAGTCAAGGAGCTCTGACTGAAAATTGACCAATATTCTAGATGGGCAGTTCGCAGGGATACTGGTCACATGAAAACTATGCAGCCGCATCAGCACTGAAATAACATTTCTCATCATCTGATAATAGCCAATAAGTAAAATTATTGATAACAGTGAGTGCTAGTAAAAGTGCAGAGAAATACACACTCATATTCTGTTTATAGTACCATAAATTGTAAGTTTTGGGAACATAAAATGCATACCCTTTAACTACACGCTTCCACTTCTGGGAATTTATCCAGTCAAAATAAAAGTAGCAATATGTAAAGATAAGTTCAAGAATACTACTGCTGCATATTTTATAAGAACAAGACAAACAATTAAGCAAACAAAACTGGAAACAACCTGAGTGCCATAATAGGAGAACTGTTGAATAAAATATGGTATAACCATATATGGAATACTCTGCAAATACAGGTCCACAATTTCTTATCTGAAATTACTGGAGCCAGATATGGTTTCATAACTCAGATATTTTCAGACTTAAATATATATTTGTATTAAATAATATATATCATAATAATATGAAAATAGTGTCTAACATATAATAATATTTTAAAATATATGCTGTATATTATGTTTATATACATAGTACTGTATACTATGTAGCAAGGCTTGGAGAGCATCTCGTAATCAAATATATAAATATTTCTGTAACAAAACATGACTTTTCACCCTAAGTAGAATAAATAAAACTATGAAGGGCTTCCCTGGTGGCCCAGTGGTTAAGAATCTGCCTGCTGATGCAGGGGACACAGGTTCGAGCCCTCATCCAGGAAGATCCCACATGCCGTGGAGCAACTAAGCCCATGCACCACAACTACTGAGCCTGCACTCTAGATCCCGCGTGCCACAACTACTGAGCCCACCCGCTGCAACTACTGAAGCCCACGTGCCTAGAGCCCGTGCTCCACAACAAGAGAAGCCACCACTCGCCACAACTAGAGAAAGCCCACGCACAGCAACGAAGACCCAGCGCAGCAAAAATAAATAAAATAAAATAAATAAATTTATTTTTAAAAATAAATTTAAAAAACTATGAAGAGGACTTCCAGGTCAGATTTTATCACTAAATGAATTACAAAACAACAAAACAAAACAAAACAATGGATTTCGAATGGAGGTAGGGACTGTGGATCTCATAGGTAGACCTACATATATTGATTTGGAAATATGTCCACAATACATGGTTAAATGCAAAAGAATGACACGTGGAGTATTGAGCTTAGTATTGAGCTTATTGAGTATTGAGCTCAATACTCCACGTGTCTTAGAATGACACGTGGAGTATTGAGCTCTTTATTGTAAGAACAAAGCCAAAGTCCTAACGTATGTGGGTATACGTCTGCATAAGTGAGGGGAGAAATAATGGAGGAGCTGTATGAATCAGGGTGGTTATATGGCAGGGAAAGGAGAGATTCAAACACATGTTTGTATTCTGTGATTTATTATAATGAGCTGGCTTTACTTTCATAATGCAAATATTAAAAAATTTTAAGAGGAGGAGAAATGAAAGAAAACCAAATAAAAACTATATTTGAAGATTCCAGAATTCCCTCCCAGCAGTGCTACTGTGTTTGGAACTGTTCAGGTGTGGGGTGCAGAAATGACTCAGACGTCCACCTACTTTCACATACCTCACAGTGGAAAACAGGACTGTGAATTTACTTGTTTGTTAGTATTAGAATTGAGGCAATAGAGGATGCAGGAGTGGACTGGCCCTAGCTGGAGAGGGGATTGGAGCCACGCCTTGGCATGCAGTACTGCTAAGAGTAAATGCTTATACGAATTCCCTACTTCATGTGTGTCAGTATGCTCTAACCATTTCATATGTATTAACTCCCTGACTTCTCCCAACAGCCCTCTGAGATGGATATTTTGTTATCATCATCCGCATTTTACAGATGAGAAAACCAAGGCTCAGGGAGATTATTTGCCCAAGGTCACACAGCTGGTCACAACAAAGCTGAGACCCAAACCAAGGCAGCCTGTCTCAGAGTCTGTCCACCCAACTACTCTGCAGATAGGACCATGGATGGCTGAATGGGAGGGATGCTCATCCGAGCCCCAGAGGCTGGAGCAGACTGGATATGTTCTAGAGATGCTACCTGGGTGGGGACACTGTGTGTCCGGCCAGAAAGGGTTCCCAGCAAAGGCCTGGCTGGGTGACCTAAGCTTCATCCACAAGCAGCTGAAGGGCACTACAGATCATCACTGAGTACCTCCTGCTGCATCTCACCCGGGGGCACCGGACAGAGCACCTAGCAGAGCAGCTTAGTCACACATCGGTGCTGGCTGTTGAGCCTGAGATTTGGGATTTGCATGTGACACCACTGATGCTTTTTCCGTCCACCGTGGCTGATCACATCAGGCACGCCTCTCCCATGAACCTCCCAGCAGGCCTCTTTGCACCTGCTCTAGTGGGGGGGGTCTGTCCATCTCTTGGAGGTGCCCTCCAGGCTCTCCCAATGTCCCAGTTTTGTGTATGTCACCCACCTATGTATTTAAGCCCCACCATCCCAAACACAGCTCTCAGATTTGGTGAAAATCCAACCATTTTCACAAAATGATGTGATGACAAACAGAAAGAAATGTGATTGCATTTATATCAGGTATTCAAGGGTCTCAGAGCTGGTTTTATTTTATGTGTTTTTAAAATTCTGTAGTGCTTTACAGTTTTCAAAAGTTTCATACACATGATTTCCTATAATCCCATAATAACCCTTTTTTTTATCCCCTACCCCTTCCCTCTCCCCGCTGGTGACCACTAGTTTATCCTCTACATCTGTGAGTCGGCTGCTTTTTTGTTTTGTTCACTAGCTTGTTGTATTTTTTAGGTCCCACATATTAGTGATATCATAACGTTTTTGTCTTTCTCTGTCTGACTTACTTCATTTAGCATAATGCCCTCCAAGTCCATCCATGTTGCTGCAAATGGCAAAATTTCATTCTTTTTTATGGCTGAGTACTATCCCATTGTATATCTACACCCATTGTACCTCTTCTCTATCCTTTCATCCATTGATGGACAGAGCTAGTTTTATTTTATGTTCCAAATCCCCAGAGAGCCAGTACTCACTATTTTGGATTTTCCTCCTTCTCACCTCTCACCCTCTTTCTGTCACTTTCTTGCTTTTCCCCTTTATCCTCACATCTCCTTGTCTCCTTCCTTTTCTGTCCCTCTTCCTTCCCTCTCAGGGTTCTTCAACACCCACGTCCCATCTGCTGTCATTACTTTAGGCTGGATGGAAGGTGGTCTCAACCCCCAAGCCCCCTCCCTACTCAATTCATCAGGTACAGTACTAAGGCCCCCGCTGACCAGAGCAGACAGACAGCAGAACAAGGGTGTCTTCAGGGCATGAGAATCCTCTCTCCATGCACCCTCTCCCAACCCACTGTTTTCCTGAGAGAGGGAGTCTGGACTCTCCTGTCTCATTTATTTATCAGGAGCTTTCACTCTCTGGACCAGTGCTGCTAAACTTTAATCCATAAAAATTTCATTATGTCTTCAACATATTTGTTTATTTATAAATAATATGCATGTACCACCAAAATTCACATTATAAAACCTGCATATAAAATAGACTTTTTTTTCACCTCACATATTTATATATATATGTGTATCTGTTTTTTGGAGGATGAGCATATTTGAGTTCTACTATCTTAGCAAATCTTAATTATACAATACAGTGTTATCAACTATAGTCACCATGTTTTGCATTATCCTCAAACCTTATGCTTCTTAGAGCTGAAGGTTTGTATCCTTTTACCAGCCTTTCCCTATTTCCCCCTCCCCCAACCCCTAGCAACCACTTTTCTACTCTCTGTTTCTATGAGTTTGACTTTTTTTTTTTAGATTCCACATACAAGTGAGACCATGCAGTATTTGTCCTTCTCTGTCTGACTTCTCACTTAACATAATGCCCTCAAGATCCATCCTTATTGTCCCAAATGGCAGTATGTCCTTCTTTCTCAGGGCTGAATAAATTCCACTGTATACACATACCGCACCTTGATCCATTTGACTGCTGATGGACACTTAGGTTGTTTCCATAGCTTGGCTACTGTAAATGATGCTGCCCAAAATAGGCGCTTCTAAAGTATCAGTTAAAATACTAATGTAAATAAAAGTTCTAATATTTTCTTCCTGCCCCACCCACCGCTTTGCAGACCACAACTTTAAATCAGACAAGGAAATAACCCAGCTGCCTGCAGCTCTTGCTAACTGTGGTTTCTGATTCTCTATCTCCAGGACATGTTCACATCACAGACTTCAACATAGCGACGGTCGTGAAAGGCACAGAAAAGGCTTCCTCCATGGCCGGGACCAAACCCTACATGGGTGAGTATTCCAGATCCCCGCAGGCCTCAGCATTCCTCTCCTGCTTCATCTCACCCCTCTCTCACCCACCTCCCATCCCCTCACCAGACCCCAAACCATGCCCAGTATGTGCCGTGCTCTGTCACACCTTTGGCCCTTACCTAAGCTGTCTCCCCTGCCAGGAAGACCATCTCCTCCTGTGTTTTCTAGAGAACTCCTACTCAGCCAGAAAGGTTGGCTCCAGCTTAGGGAAAAACAAACAAACAAGTAAACAACAAACCCTTCTTCTTTTTCCTTAAAGTCCAGTAGTGTTGCCAGAATACAATTTTGGTGTTGGTCATTTTGGATCTATATTCTCAGGTACACAGTGCTCTTGCAATGTGGTTTCAGGTTGGTTTTTCTTTAGGACTTTTCATGGAAATGTCATTTTTTTTTTAGTACACATTCTTTTCCTTTACTTTTTCTTTGTTAAGGATGCCTATTATCTGAATATTGGGTCTTCTCTGTCAGTCTTCAATATTTGCCATTTTCAAATCTTTCTTATCTCTTTCGTCCTATGTTTAAATTTTTTCTCACTTTTTTTCTTTCTCTTTACTTTAAAGCATTCTCTGTTGTGTTTATTTGCTTTGTGTACTTTCTAGTGAAGTATTTATTTCTGAAATAATTTCCCTTTGTTTCTATTTTTTTCCTGAGTTCTTTTGCCAGATTTCTGAGTATCTAAATTATAATTTATGTGTTCTTTCATGTCTTGCATAATTTTTAAATGTCTATATTAGTTATTAATCCTTAATGTCTATATTAGTTGTCAATTGTTATATGACAAACCATGTCAAAACCTAGTGGCTTAGAACGATAACAATTGTATTATCACAATTCTGCCACTTGATTTTTTTTTAACATCTTTATTGGAGTATAATTGCTTTACAATGGTGTGTCAGCCTCTGCTTTATAGCAAGGTGAATCAGTCACACATATACATATGTCCCCATATCTCTTCCCTCTTGCATCTCCCTCCCTCCCACCCTCCCTATCCCACCCCTCTAGGTGGTCACAAAGCACCGAGCTGATCTCCCTGTGCTTTGCGGCTGCCTCTCACTAGCTATCTATTTTACTTTTGGTAGTGTATATATGTCCATGCCACTCTCTCACTTTGTCCCAGCTTACCCTTCCCCCTCCCTGTATCTGCAAGTCCATTCTCTAGTAGATCTCCATCTTTATTCCCATCTTGCCCCTAGGTTCATCAGAACCATTTTTTTTTTAGATTCCATATATATGTGTTAGCATACAGTATTTGTTCTTCTCTTTCTGACTTACTTCACTCTGTATGACTGTCTCTAGGTCCATCCACCTCACTACAAATAACTCAGTTTCGTTCCTTTTTATCTGCCACTTGATTGAGTGGTTCTTCTGCTGGTTTTTGTTGTGGTCACTCATTCAGCTGCTGGGTCAGCCAGGACAGCTGAGATAAATGGGCCCCTCTCTCTGGGTGGTCTTTCATATCAAGGGGACTAGAGAGAGCTTGCTCACATGGTGGCAGCGGTTTCAAGAAGGAGAACCCAACTCCCACGTGCCTATCAAGGCTCTGCTTGCTTCACATTTCCTGATGTCCAACTGGACAAAGCAAGTCACATGATGAAGACCAGGGACCACATGGGAGGGAACTGCACTAGTCATGGATACCAGGCAGCCTGGTTCATTGGGGAGCCATTTATGAAACAATCCACCACACTGTCTTTTCTGAGGTGCTTTCCTTGTACAATGTTGTTCTGCTCTTTATTCTCCCTTCTCTTATAACTTGACATGGAATTTGACTTTGATACTTTTCTGTTGCTCATTTTCACGTAATATTAGTTTTCCTGAACCTTTATAAGATGGTGTGGCTCAGGGTAGCTTTTCTAACAGACTTGCCTCTTCTGTTGTTTAAGTGACATGTCACATCCCAAGGCAGCTTGCTACCTGGGATTTCCTTGCCCACTTCCACTTGCCCATTTCTATCTGGACCACCTCTTTCTTTGGTCTGAGGGGCCCCCTTCCTGCTCAGTTTTGATTTCATTCCCAACAGTTTCTCCCTGGGATCTTTCCTAGATAGGAACTCTGGCTGGATTGATTAAAGCGATTTTGTGTCTCAGACTCTCCAGCTCCTGCAAAACTTACCAAGGGCCCTTTTCACTCACCTGAGATGGGTCTGGACAAGTTCCTCCCAGTTTCATCTGCTATTCTCAGACTGGTCAGCTGTGCCTCCCAGTCAATGTCTGCTCACTATTTTGAAGTCCCCTGTGCTCTGGTCCATCATAGGCCATGTTATTATTTTCTTTGTTTCCTTCTGTACAGAAATCACTGCCATGGAGGGCTTGTCACTGTTGCTGGTTTGTTCCCACCTGCTTATAGTTTGGGGTCTGGGGGGACAACTTAGCTTTGTAGTAAATATTGCCCATGGTTTTCGGTTTAGCTATTTATCTGCTCTGCCATTGTTTATAGGTGGATTGTGGAGATTCAAACACTATGTCATCGTCTCCCCAGAATGGACTCCTTGTGTCCTTCATCTTTAACTTACTAAATAGATTACATAAGTGAAGTTTGGCAATAAATAATGGTAAAAACAATACTTTTTAGTATTTACTATGTATGTGCCAGGCATTCCATCCATAACCTTATTTAATCCTCACAAACATGAAGTAGGTGCAATTATTTATTCCCATTTTAGAGTTGAGGAAATGGGCTGAGAGAGGTCGGGGGACCTACCCAAGTTGACCTTGGTAGTGAGAGCAGACCCAAGTCAGTGTGAACACCAGAGGGTATACAATGAGTGGGTCTGTCCATTTCACAGAACCCCCTTGGGATGCTGAATACAGACCTTAATAAGGCTTTCACTGTTGACGACCTTTCTGAAATCCCATTCCAGAAGGATCCAGAGCTGGGGCAGTTCTATCCAAGGAGGTCCTTGCTTTAAGATTCAACAGAGATCAGACATGGAGATGGAGAATGGCAGTGAAGGAGGGGATAAGGCTGCCTCCAGGCCTCCGAATCAAGCAGTAGAGGGGATTACAGTGATGATCACTGTGCAGGGAACACCGCAGGAGGAGCAGGTGTGGGGGACGGTGGGAAGGATGAATTTGAAAGTGAGGTCTGTAGGAACTTCAAGACATTCAGATGTACTCCAAGCAACTGGAGAGTGATGTGAACTCCATCTGTGCATGGGGAGTTACCGGCACGGAGATGCAGCAAAGCCACGGCAGTGACAGGATCCCCCAGGGAGGACACGGGAGAGAAGAACACCAATTCTAAGCCCAGGAGCATTTTGCCAGAAGGGGCAGGTAGAGGCCAGAGGAGTCATCATCTCCAGAGGGAGGGTGGAGGAGAGAGGTGACATAAGAGAAGAATCTCCCAGTTGGAGCCACCTCTATAATCCTATAAATTAGTTCCCACTGCCTTGAGGCTATTTCCAAAAAGCAAATTGATCTCTAGGAAAGTAGATTCTGGACCACTGGAGAAATTCAAGACAATGTTCTCCCAACCCTGACCTTTCTGCCCCTGCTTTGCCACTGTTCATAGCAGACTTTCCTGGGCTACCTCAGCCTCATGCCCTGGCTTCCCACTCATCTCTGACGCAGCTCTGTCCTGGCTCTCAGCCTCTGGGAAAGCAGACCAAGGTTGACCCAGAGGCCCCACTGTCAAAAAGGAGAAGAAAACCAACATGTATTTTGACCCTACCAGATGTCTGTCATTACATTTAATCCCCAGAAGATCCACATGAGAATTCTGCATCTCTTTCATTTTATATATGAGTAACCTGAGGCCCATAGAGGTTAGCTAACCTGCCCAGAGTCACACAGCTAGCAAGTGATGGAGCCAGAATTTGAAGCCATGTCTATTTGGGTCCGAAGTCCATGCTTTTTAAAAAAATTTTTCTTGAAATAGAGTTGATTTACAGTCATTGGGTTAGTTTCAGGTGTACAGCAAAGTGATTCATTTTATATATACGTGTGTATATGTGTATGTATATATATGTATAAATATATATATTCTTCTTTTACATTCTCTTCCATTATAGGTTATTACAAGATATTGAGGAGAGTCCCCTGTACTATATAATAGGTCCTTGTTGGTTATCTATTTTATATGTAGTAGCGTGTATATCTTAATCCCAAACTCCTAACTTATCCCTTCCCCCCCTCCCCTTTGGTAACCATAGTTTGTTTTCTATGTCTGTGAGTCTACTTCTGTTTTGTGAATAACTTCATTTGTATCATTTTTTTAGATTTCATGTATAAGTGATATCATGTGATGTTTGTCTGGCTAACTTCACTCAGTATGACAGTCTCTAGGTCCATCCATGTTGCTGCAAATGGCATTATTTCATTTGTTTTCATGGCTGAATAGTATTCCATCATGTATATGTACCACATCTTCTTTATCCATTCATCTGTTGATGGGCACTTACCTTGCTTTTGAAGTCCATGCTTTTGCCACTGTACCAAGCTGCCTTTTTGACACTGAGTTCTTGTATCAGAAAGTCACATTTCTCAGACAAGAAAAAAGTGTATTGTCCCAGCTGTACCTAGGATTCAGGGCTTCTGAATCCTAGAAGTGTCCTTCTAATTAAAGGAGCTTCAGTCCTGAATTAGTGAACGAATGCACAGGAGAGATTTTTATGGGATTTAGAGAGCACAGCTGATTGACCAAATGGATATATCTTCAGAGACGGTAGGGGTTGGCAGTGCCAAGCAGTGGGAGGTTGGTGGGGAAAATGGGGGTGAGAGGGAAACTCTCTCATTCAGGTCACATCCTGCAGTTCCCAGGGCTATAAATTCCTGCTATCAAGTGGCAGGTTTGTTGATTTCGTTCACTTGAGCTGTTCAGTTCAAAGGCCCAGTAACAAGTTCCCAGAATGTTCCAAACATGGATTCAGGGAACGGGCTGATGAGTAAGCTCCCAAAGGTTGCTCACGAAGGATGATCCCAGAAGAAATATTTGCATAGTACTGAATTTTCATTCATTAAAAGAGCAGATGGAATTCACCA